CATTTCATTGGGAAAGAAAAAGAAAAAGTGTTTTAAAAACAAATGAAATTGTTTTTAGGAAAAGTTTTTTTAAAAAAAAGTATTTGCGAAAACCGAACGCTTAGGAGGTGCTTAGTGGTCCGTGGTATTAGTGTGGTCTAGAGGGGACTAGGGAGAAACCCTAGCGTGGTTGAGCTAACTAGGCCGGATACGGCGCCTTGGAGGTGCCTTGTGGTCGTGGATGGTTAGTCAATCCTCCTTTCGTGTTGCCTTGGAGGTGCCTTGGGTTAGATTACACTGATGGTTTGGAAGGTGAAACGGTAGTGTTTCGGAAATGGGGAGCGACATTGCATAGCATGACATTTAATTGACATACATTGCACACTTGGTGATTGGACGACTTATGTATGTATCTATTGATGTTATTGTTGATTTGCTTGTTTTTTTCGAGATATAATCCCGTTCTCTCGTATCCTATTCATTGTATGGATTCACGGGGTCGTAAGAGTTGTGTCTTAGGTACATCCTACTGAGATTTATGCTCACCCCATCATTTTAACATTTTTCAGGTCACTGGAAGGAAGTGGCGGATGACATTCTTCCATAGGTTTGTATGGGTTAGTAGACTGTTTTATCATCTTTTATATTTGTGATTTCATTTGTTTTGTATAAGCCTTGGGATGGCAAATACATTATGTATCGAACTTGAAATTTACCATAGTGCCCTTAGACGACCTCGGATTCGGGTAAGGACCCGGTTAGCGATTTTGACCCTCGGATTCGGGTCGTTACAAAAACCTCACGGTGGGTAAATTGTTGGTTTCCTCTTCTTGGCATCGTCTCACCTTTTACTATTTCAGGTAATGTTTCCCGAGGCGGTGAAAATATTGATGCTAACTAAGGATCTCGGAGCTTGTAGATGGAATTAGTTTGTGGTTACATGACTACTTGTTGGAGAAATTTGGCTCTTCTATATTTTGCAATGGCATGTAACATTCTAAATATGTGCAAGGCATAAATCTGTATGCACAGTGCTGAAGCCATGTTGTTATGTCACTTTGGAGTAATTTGGTGGCATGTAACATTCTAAATATGTGCAAGGCATAAATCTGTATGCACAGTGCTGAAGCCATGTTGTTATGTCACTTTGGAGTAATTTGGTTTAATAGAACTTCTGGTCAAATGGTTACTAAATCAGAGTTTATTGATGCACCATTATTAGTCCATCGTCTGAGCACTATCCGCATTATGTGGAGGTTTGAGATTGAATATTTGATCCACCATTATTAGTCCATAGTCTATTCGTGGTGGATCATTGTCTAATTGTTTTATAAATTCAGTTAATAATGTTTATGATCACTCTATCACCGTTGGACTTGATTCTACCTTTTGCTGTGGTGACTTTATACTTATACCACATGCACCAATGACCCCAGTGATTAAAAGAATTCAATTTTGACCAAAATTACATTTACCTTTTTTTTTATTATAATAAATACGGAGTATTTTAAAAAGAAAATCATTCTCGTAGCACATCCCTTTTACGAAAGAATAATGCTAGAAACAATCCCGTTTTTATTTTTTTATATTATTTTTTATTGAAGTTCATTAAATAGTGTTCAATAAAAATTCTAATTAGGACCCCTTTAGTATAACTTTTTTCTTTTAAATAGAAGCGGAAGAGAAATAGAAGCGATTGGAATTAAATTTTGACTCCATTGAAGAAAGAGTAAGCTTATTGATTTATGATTTTAAGACTAATAGTTCAAGCGACTCGGTTCTTTCAAATTGTTTCTCGGTAACCAAGATAAAATATGAAATTGTTTTATAGCAATTGTAATTAATCGTTGTTGTTTCAAGGTCAATTGATTCACTCGCCTACATAATATCTAACATTATTGAATCACAGTGACTGTTCATACCACTGTTGTGGTCTTGTGAGGTTGGCGTGATTGCATTTAACCCCATGTCAAGCTTTGTTATCAATCAGTTTTCGCATATATAATTAATTATATTACAAGTCGGTCAAAAGATATTAGGTTAGCTAGGCATTCTATGTCATTGGTGCTGTGAACAAATTCCGACAAGTTCTTATGTACACACATTAATTGTCTCGATATACCAATGACATCACACAACACAATAAATATATCCTCAAGTTAGCAAGTTCGATCAATCTGCATCCACTGCATCGTTAAACATTGTTATCGCATTGTCAGGAAGTGCCATACATTGTTAACCATTAGATTATTCTATGCCATTTTTTGCGACTCCGGCTGCAGCTACCGTCCCCAGTATTGCATTTATTTTCTAGGCTGTTTAGTTTCAACATCTAAGAGCATTCGGGGCGGCACTCTCTTTAGAGTATATATGTGTGAGTTAAGGGAGAGAAGTGGACGGTATGGTAAGAGAAGTGGAGTATCTGTCTTGTGGGACCTACAGTCATTGTCTAAGCCTTTGTCCACATATAAAGAAGCTTTTGGAGAACACTCTATTTTTTGTTTCCTTTGTTTAATCAATCTGACTGAAAGGAAAAAAGCAAAAGGCAGATATGGATGAAATAAAATAAAAATAAAATAATAAATAGAGAATGTGATAATTGGGTTCCACACCATGGCACATATGGATTAAAAAAAATAGAGTACCACATTATCACTTTTTAGCTTACGTAACACTCTACTTTTTAAAAAGTAGGTAGATAACTTGTGTTGCCGACACCAAATGCTCTAAAAGTGTCATGCGAATCCTCTCTCTCTCTCTCTCTCTCTATATATATATATATATAGATATATATATTACATCTCAATCAATTTCTTATACGTAATCAACTTTGACTTTTCTTTGTCATCGTTGGAACATTAATATCACAATATATATATATATATATATATATATATATATATATATATATTTGGCTATTATATACCTATTAAAGTATTGTTATATTTTATTTTATTAAATATTTATAATTTTTTAAAATTCCCTCCACTAAAATTACAAATAAAACATCACTATTACCCTTACAACTTGTTATTAAATATTGACCCCGGGGGCTTGGCTCAGTTGGGAGATGCTTGGTACTGGCTCACACTAGGCCAGTGTTCAATCCCTGCCAACCGCATTATCACCCCCGACTTTCCCGGTGTATCCTTGGACGAGGCTTTGCACCCCCAGATTTGTAACCTAGGGTGGATCCCGAAGGGGCCTTGCCTAGGGGAATTCCTGGTGCTAATAAAAAAAAATAAAGAACAACTTGTTATTAAATATTGACCTCCTACATAGTTTCTAGGTCGGTCCCTAAACATCAAAGCGTTATTTAAACAAACATAATGTTCATTTTTCCCTAGTTTTCCTTCCATTTTCAGAGATGAGTTCAGCAACATCACCCTCACTCTACACACTAATCACATTTCCATTATTCATTACCTTGCTCCATGTTACAACACACCACACTACTGCAACCGCCCCTAGTACTTCCTCAGGTGGAAATATGACTGATCATCTTGCGCTGCTCGATTTCAAATCATCGATCACTAATGACCCTCAAGGGGTCTTCAGATCTTGGAACGAGTCCTTCCATTTCTGCGAGTGGGAAGGTGTTGGATGTGATCTCCGACACGGAAGGGTCACAATTTTAGACCTCGGATCCAAAGGCTTGGTGGGTTCCCTGTCTTCTCATGTCGGAAACATGAGCTTCCTTCACGTGCTGAGGCTCGAAAACAACACCTTTCGAGGCGAGATCCCCCCTCAACTCGGCCCGCTGTTCAGGTTGCAGAGATTATATCTGAGCTCCAGCAACTTTGAAGGTGATAATATCTGAGCGCCAACATATCTCACTGCTCCAACCTCACACACCTTGTAGGTGACAATAAGCTAGTTGGAAAATTTCCGAACGAGCTTTGCTTTTTCACCAAGCTCAAAGTTCTTCACATTCATAAAAACAATTTAACCGGAGGGATCCCTCCTTCCATTGGGAATCTTACTTGTCTGGAAACTCTATCGGCTGCTATAAATCATTTTGGAGGTAGTCTGCTAGATTTCTTCGGTCAGATGAAAAACCTAACAACAATCGGATTTGCTGGCAATGGACTCTCCGGTACACTACCTCCTTCCATTTTTAATCTCTCCATGCTTACTAATATGTCTTTTGCTGTTCACCAACTATGCGGTAGTCTTCCACTGAGTTTTGGTATCATGCTCCCTCATCTTCAACTGCTTCAATTATGGGGTAACCAATTTTCCGGAGCCCTTCCATTCTCAATATCCAATTGTTCAGCACTGCAGACCCTAGAAATGCAACGAAACGATTTCAGTGGGAAAATAGGAATTAATTTTGGAGGTCTTCCGGATGTCGTGACAGTTAGACTGCACACGAATAATTTAGGAAGCGGAGAGCAGACGAAATGAGCTTCATTAGTTCCATGACCAACTGTAGCAATTTGAAAACATTAGTTCTGCTTCTTAACCAACTGAGAGGGTTTTTACCCAATTCTGTGGGTAATCTGTCGAGCCAGCTTGTTACTCTAGCGCTTGGTGGAAATCTCCTCCACGGAAAACTCCCTTCAAAAATAGGTAATCTTGTCAACTTAACGTTGTTAGGTCTAGAAATCAATCAATTCGTGGGCACAATTCCTACGGATATTGGTAATCTTCAAAATTTAGAAATGTTAGCTCTTGACAGAAACAACTTATCTGGGAAAATCCCAGATTCTTTGGGAAACGTTTCATTGTTGATTCAACTTTTCTTGGGGAATAACATATTAGAGGGCAACATACCCCCGAGTCTTGGAAGCTGCAAGAAATTGTTGTTGCTAGATCTTTCTCGCAATAATCTTAATGGCACCATACCTAAAGAACTCTTGAGAGTTTCAGTTCTATCAATTTCACTAAATCTTGATCATAATCATTTGTCCGGATCCCTCCCTTGAGATGTTGGGAGTCTAAAAAATTTACTGGAATTGGATATATCCGAGAATGAGTTGTCTGGTGAACTTCCGAGTAGCCTTGGAAGCTGTAATAGCCTGGAAAACCTCTACATAGAGGGGAACTTCTTCAATGGATCTATTCCTAGATCATTGAGTTTCTTGAGAGGAATTCAATATTTTGATCTCTCTCGCAATAATTTCTCCGGGCAAGTTCCAAGTTTCTTCGTGAATTTTTCCTTGATGAATCTTAACATTTCGTATAACGATTTTTAAGGTGAGGTACCGATGGAAGGAGTTTTTCGAAATATTAGTGCTATATCAGTTGCCGGGAATAGTAAGCTTTGTGGGGGCATACCTGAACTTCAACTACCCAAATGCAACTTCAAAGAATCGAAGAAACAAAAAATGTCTCTTGCACTGTGACAGTAATCTCGGTAGTGAGCACAGTACTGTGTGTAATGATGGTGCTGTGTTTCTTATTTTGTATTTGGCTCAAGAAGAAAAGAAAGAGTCAACATTCTGAATCACTCTCGAATGAATTGTTCTTGAAGGTGTCTTACCAATGGCCTCTCAAAGCAACTGGCGGGTTTTCTTCAGTGAATTTGATTGGTGTGGGGAGCTATAGCTCTGTCTATAAAGGAATTCTTGATGAAGAAGATGAGACATCTGTTGTTGCAGTCAAAGTCTTAAACCTCCAACATCGAGGAGCTTCCAAACGTTTCATGACAGAGTGCAAGGCCTTGAGAAATGTTCGGCATAGGAATCTGGTAAAGGTCATAACTTCTTGTTCGAGTGTTGATTTTCACGGTAATGATTTCAAGGCTCTGGTTTACGAGTTCAGGCCCAATGGAAGCCTAGAGAGGTGGTTGAATTTGGATCCGGGAACAGAAAATGGACAGAATATTGAGATTCAAAGCCTAAACGTGCTTCAAAGAGTAAACATTACGATTGATGTGGCTTGTGCACTAGAATATCTTCACCATCACTGTCAAACGCCAATTGTTCACTGCGATTTAAAACCAAGTAATGTGCTTCTTGATGATGACATGGTTGCTCATGTAGGAGATTTTGGGGTAGCAAGGTTTCTTCAACTAGTTTTAGATCCAAAACAAAGCAATTCAGTTGGAATAAAAGGAACTATTGGCTATGTGGCTCCAGGTATGTAATTACAATGCACTATTTTTTTTTTTTACTTATTTATTTATTTATTTTTATCTATATTTTTTTCTTATTGGGTTACTTCAATATAGCATCACTCAAATTTATTAATGTTCTTATTCCTTTTATCCACTTATTTTTCAAATTTATTAATCAGCAATAACCTTCGTTTTTCTATTATTTATTCCTTTTTTAGCTTCTTTTTCAAATTTATTAATGTAATTTTATATACTTAATGTCTGTATTTTGTGTCTCTGAATTTTTCTTTACTGTACTTTTATTTCAATAGGCTTAACATGCTATTTGACTTTCGTTTACTGCATTGTTAGTAAACTACTATTTATTTATTTATTTATTTTTATTTTTTCGTGTTGTATTGTTGACTGTGTTCCTTGAAATTAATTCCTGGCTCTTTCGCTTAGCATGTCATGTCAACATGCACGTTCCAACTTTTTCGATTCATTATGGAATTGATAGTGTACATTTGATTACAAGAGATAATTATATATGTATGTGATGGCAATCAATACATGTATATAAATAGTAATAATAAATTGTTCATAGTCGGTAATTATGGATGGACTCATAATTAATTAAGACTTGAACTGAATCCGCGTTAGATTGAGATATATTGCGAGAGCCGTCGTATGCAATTGCTCCCTATCACTGTTATGGCATTTGACTCTTAAGCATGAGAAAAGTATAAACTCTTTTATTAATTAATAATTACTTTGATTTGTTCGGAGGATTCTTCGGGATCCTTAGACCGACACTTTGGGTAGTTATGTAATTAATAGTTAGAGAGTTATATTTTCGATATTTGCATCATTGCTACTTGTATTTATTTTGTATTGATTATGATTGATCACAAAATAAATTCGAAAGCCTTTGTATGTTTTTAGACAAAATGATTTATTATATATTTATTTATTTAAATTATTATTTTTGTCAAACAAATGTTTTATCGTGATCGAGCCAAGAATAATCAAAAGTACCAAAATAAATATATTAATTAAGTAGTCGGATTGATGACTTTATTTATCCGATAACTAATTATGCATAGAGGGGTCACAGTGCAACATTGACTTAGAGGTTATTTATTATTTAGTTGGAGTTCAATTAATTTCTTTTAGTGGAGTAGAAATTAATTTATGAGTTAATTGAATTGGGTCCATCGACAGGGCCAATTATTAATTCATTATAGCCAATAAAATAATAAGTCAAAAGATTCTCACTCATAACCCAACTTGATATTGGAATCCTATTAAATTTGAGACATGTGAATTAGAGATTGAAAAAGAGTTACTGTTTCCTTTTCTTTATCTTTATGTTGCCTATATATATATATGGTCTATGTATATTTTAGGGGTGATTTTGGATGAGAAGGAAAAAGGAATATAGTTTATCTCTCTAGAAAATTAGGGTTAATATTCTCATCTAATGGAGGCTCCCACAAACCTAATTTTCCAAGGTCATTCATGAAGGCTTATGAGTGATCCCTAAAGACAAAACAATTACCAAGAAGATGAAGATCCAAGGAGAAGGCATCTTGCTAAGGGATTTACAATAAGTGAGAATATTCACTTTAGAGGAAAGATTTAAAGGTTTACTCAGACTTTTGATGTAACTATTCAATCTGTTAATTGAATGATACATCATATTTAATTTTTGCATAAAAACTTGTCTCTTTGTGATGAATCATCTATGAATCAAAATCTCTCGAAAAGTTTTTAAAACTAGCACGTTTCCCAACAGTGGTATTAGAGTATGATTTGATTCATTACCAAAGATCTTGTTTTTATCAAAATCATCATCATGGATCCAAATTATATATATATTGATGTATGTTGATGTATGATTTAATATATTGATACATGATGATGTATGTATAATTGTGAATGGATGATGATGAATGTTTGGGTTATGGATGAAGCTTATAGGTTCATTGAATGTAATTTTATCTTTGGATGAATATAATTAAGGCTTTGATTTAGCCGTTTGAAAGTTCAATGATGTAATTTTATTTTTTCCATTGTATTTCAAATTGTAAATATTTGTTAAAGCCATGTAATATTCATCAAAGGATGCTATGAAGCTTCAAGAGGGTCCGAAAGGGTTAAATTATGATTCAGTAATTTTCTGGAATTTTTCCGAATTTTTCTGGAATTTTTTGAGGCTTAATTTAATTTTCTGGGAAGACATATTGGCGCGTGCATCACACGCGCCAGCCAAGTTGATTTTTTCCTCCACGCGCCTGGAGGCGTGTCCCGGCGCGTCCCATGCGCAGCAACGCGCCCCAGGCGCGTGCAAGAGCGTGGGGGCGCGTGCCTTGCCCTGCAGCCTGCTCTAAGCGTGTGCGAGTGCGTGTGGGGTCCTCCGGGTGCGTTCCAAGCGGTGTTTTGTTTCTCTAGACGCGTACCAGGTTCCTACAGGAGTTTACAAACTGTTGAAAGACGCTGGTATTATACTTAGAGCAATTAAATGTTAAAAGCTGAATCCATTGGCCATTTAAATTGCTTCTGTCTGTGGTCTAATTATTTATTGATATATGTGATGCATGAAATAGATAATTGTTTATTAATTATTATTCATGCATTAGATCCATGATATTTAATTAAATGACTTGATTTATATTAATTAAAATTATGAAAATTAATTGGATTTGATTACTAATTAATTTGAGGGCGCTTATTGGGAAACGAAAAATTCATTTTTTGTAAATTATCTTTAAAGTGTGCCTCAAATTAAATATTAGTGAATCATTTAAAGTCCAAATATTTTCTAAATTTAATTGGATTAAAATCAAGACGTTTTGCATGCATTATATCATGTAAATGATTAAATTGAAAACCCTAATTATGTATGATTAAAAATTGAGTGGGAGCGGGGATTTTTATACATTACCACATGGCTTTTGTTATTAAAACCATTGTAATTAGAACTTAAAAAATAAGGCCCCACGCATGATTTGAAGAGTCTTAATATTACAAGAATGGTTGCCTCATGAAAATAAAAATATTAAATGTTCATTGTAATTAGATCTTTAAAAATAAGGCCCTACGCATGATTTAAAAAGTCTAGATTATAATGACAAGATATTTAATGTTTTATTTATCGTTAGAGCTTTAATAACGTTATACACTCAATTTAAAATCAATAGTGTTAGCTCCCCAACGGAGTGGTCTACACTAGGTGATTTTAGAAAGGCTAAACAAAATTGGGAATCATTTCATATGATAGACAAAGCATTGTCTTAAGAGATATGTAAATGATGGGATTTGCCCACCAATAGCAATAATGAACTTCGCCAACCGAATAAGTTATTAGCGTATTGGTTATCCGATTTTTCATGCAGTGGTTAAGGGATCCACATATTATTATTTTAAAGGAAGTGCTTACCTAATAGCAAATGAATCTCAACAATAGTAATAATGAACTCTTCCATCAAGATAAGTTATTGACGTATTAATTGTGTGATTTATTATACTATAAAGTTGAGGGACCCACATTAATTAAAAGGGAATGTTCACCAATAGTGATAATGAAATCTTATTCTATTGAGATTTATTATATTATGTGGTTAACAAACTCATTTTAATTTTAAATATGCATGATAGGATTAATAATTCACCTTGCATATTGTATGAATGCATTTATATTCAGATTAATTATGTCTAACCTTGTTTATCTGCTTGCTAACATACTCAATGTATGTGGATCTCATTTATAATGACTGGAAAAGGAATTTAGATATTTTTTTCACAACGTAAGGGTTTAAAATGTATTTACTACTCCTATAACCTAATCTTTTTACTTTGAGATACCAAATTTGACATTAATGCTTTTAATAAATTAGATAAGGCAAATGATATGACTTGGTGTAATATTCTAGAGTTTATCTCAAATACGCTCCGAAGCTAACATTTGCATTATTTTATTTTCTTCAAGCATCATGTTAAAAATCAATGAGAGGTTTTGGTGAGATTAGATAGAGTTTATGCCTTAGTACTGTGTCAGACTTGATTACCATTGAGACAGTCTAAGGAACTCCAGCAAGAAATTGTATTTTGAAAATGATTGTTTATTATTTAAAAATTTAACTGGAGGTCAATAAGGCTAACTTGGGTGGTAAGTTTTAAGTTGACATGATTATTGCCTTGTTACCAAACTCGTTTGACTCTTTTAGTGTGAACTAAATAAGGAAACAGTTTGAGTTTACACTTGCTGATATTCTTATAGAATTGGTAATAGACGAAAGGATAATCAAAAGTATAGGCGTTCCTATTAATCTAACCTAGTCTATACCATCTTCTTCTAGGCCCAAGTGGACGGGCAAAGGAAAGAATAAGGATGATAATAGGACTAGGGTAGCACAAAACATGGGTATCCAAAAGATTAAAGGGAATAAGGCAGTGTATGTTGAGGGCGAATGAAACTGTTTCTTTTGCCGCTAACTAACACACTAAAGGAGAGAACTGTCTAAGCAATGACGTGGTATAGGAAAATGTATATTTAATCATTGAGCCATGTTATGTGGTTGTATCTATTAATTCCTGATGGATAGATTCTGGAGCCACTAAATATGTTAGCAATTCGTTGCAAAGATTTCAGGAATCCAGAAGCCTCAATGATATGTATATATATTTGTCTTTTAACCTGATGCCAGGGTTGTAGTTAAGTCAGTGGGAGTATAACATCTGCAATTAGAGAGTATGAGGATATTAGTATTAGAGAATTATCTTTATGCACAGATGTTAGACGCAATCTAATTCTTATTTCACTTTTGGTTTATAAAAACTGTATTGTTATTTTGTAAAACTAGTTTTATAAAATTGAATAGATATGCGATTGCTTCTGGTGCATTGAAAGATGGTTAATGTACTATAATCACAAACTCTTAAGATTTGCAGGATGTAGAAACTAATGTTGCATCTTCTAGATTGAATGTTAAGAGAAAAATTGTTATTCCTGACTCATTGTATTTTTAGTGTCTATTTTTGGGTTGTAATCAGTCAAAATGAGATTCAAAGATTGGTCAAAGAAGGTTAATTACCTAGTGAGGTAGAGGAGCCTAAACCAAACTTGTGAATCCTATTTTGAAGGATAGATAACTCTAAGGGCTTAATTAGCCATATGAAATAGACATAAAGGACAATTGGAGTCGGTACACACAGACACGTATGATCTTATGAACATCCAAGCAAGTTTACTCACGTTTTGGATAAATTTACCTGATGCGACACAAGTCTTAAACTTTTGGTATATTGCGAGAGTGTTAAGACTGATGTGCAGCACAGATTAGGTAAACTTATCAAGACACTTCGATCTAATAGTGGATATGAGTTTTTCTTGGGATAGTGCAAAGACTATATGGTCAATGAGGGTGTTGTGTACCTATTTTCCGCAACTGACGCTAAATTGATTTAGGTGTCAAATAGGAATAACAGAATTCCGCTTAACATGGTTAGATCTGTGATCAGTTATACTACATTATCTCTTTCATTTTAGAGTTTAGCATTAATGATATCGATGCGTATTAAGAACTGTATTCCATCTTAGTCTGTCTTAAGAATACCATTTGAGCTGTGTTTTTGACTAAATCTTAATTTGAATCACATGCACATATAGGGTAGTCTTGTACATGTGCGATCTCAATGATAAAAGTTGACTATTTACACTCACTGTTTATCTATAGGAGAATCATATTATGAATCACATACCTAGTAGCATAATGTTAGAGAATATGGTATGAGTACCAGATGTACCACATATGAACACACTTATTATAGAGATTGAGAATAATATATGAATTCCCAATTGATGCGTCAGCATCATCTAATACACAGATTCCTGCATCGGTACATTATTGTAGTGGGAGGATTATCATCCAATCCGATAGAATCATGTTTTTAGGTGAGACAGTTATGGACATCCCTGTTAAACATGAGTTGGACCCAGTAAGCTACATGGAAGTGTGAACCGATATGGATACAGATCATTTTCGCGAGTTGCTATGAAATCAGAGTTGGAATCTATGTATTCTAATAAAACCTGGGATCTTGTAGAACTTTCTAGTAGGGTGATACCTATGGAAGATAAGTTAATCTACAAAAAGATACTAGAAGATTTCTTAGTAAATAAATCATGAGTGTACAAGGGAATGTCATTATTTTTCTAATTCTATATATATTGATGACATCCTACTCATTTAGAATGATATGGAAAGTTTTGTCATCAGTAAAGAGGTAGTTGTTCAATTATTTTGAAATGAAGGATTTTAAATATGTAAGCTATATTCCTAGGATCAAGCTTTTGCAAGATCAGGTTAAAAGGAAAATAGACTTATCTTAATAATCTTACATTGATAAAGTTTTTTACTAGGGTTGGTATGCATAACTCAAAGAATGAGTTTTTGCTTTATTGATATGGAGTGCTCTCTCTAGTAAGTAGTTTTCTAAGACTAGCAGAGGAGATTGAGCAAATGAGACTGGAACTGTATGCTTTGACATATGGGAGTCTCATATATATATTCCATGGTCTATACCAAACAAGACATCCGCTACATTGTAGGGATAGTCAGAAAATATCAGTCCAATCCTGGACTTGATAACTGGTTTATTGTGAAAAATATCATAAAGTACTTTAAAGAGAACCAATAATCTCATACTCATTTATGGATATGATGATGTGGTTCTAGTCAAGTATGCTAGTTATGATTTTAAATCAGTTGTAGATACTATGAGGTTCATTACTCAGTGTTTGTTTTACTCAATGGAAGGAAAATTAGTTAGTAGATTATTAAGCAGATTTCAACTGCTGACTCAAACCTGCAGGTGGAGTACATTGCACCCTTAAAGGCAGCAAAGGAAGCCTTTTGGTTTGATCTCACTGATTTAGAGGTTGTGGAGTATACTACCTTGCCTATCGAGCTATGTTGTGGCAATAGTGCAGAAGTAGTCAAAACTAATAACCCAAGGTTCCATAGAGGAACAAGATACAATGAGACGAAGTTTCATATTTTATTTGATATTGTCCGGCAAGAAAATGTACTCGTGGCTAGAACATTGCATTGGAACACAACTTTGTTGATCCATTAACAAAGGTGTCATTAATCAATAATTTTGATCGTCATCTGGATAACATTGGAGTTAGATGCAATTTGAATTGGCTATGAGGGCAAGTGGGAGCTGTTGGGATTTATATGCCCTGGCATAACAAATTCCCATATAGATTATAGTGACATATGTTCCTGACGTTTCTGAAATATTTATGCTTTATACAATTGGTGAATTCAATATATTATGTTTCGATTCACTATGGAATTGATAGTGTCCATTTGATTACAAGAAATATTTATATATGTATGTGATGGCAATCAATACATGTATATAAATAGTAATTATAAATTGTTCATAGTCGGTAATTATGGATGGACTCATAATTAATTAAGACTTGAACTGGATCCGCGTTAGGTTGATATATATTGCGAGAGCCGTCATATGCAATTGCTCCCTATCACTGTCATAGCATTTGACTCTTAAGTATGAGAAAAGTGTAAACTCTTTTATAAATTAATAATTACTTTGATTTGTTCGACGGATTCTTCGGGATCCTTAGACCGATACTTTGGGTAGTTATGTAATTAATAGTTAGAGGGTTATATTTTTTATATTTGCATCATTGCTACTTGTATTTATTTTGTATTGATTATGGTTGATCACAAAATAAATTCGAAGGCCTTCGTGTGTTTTTAGACAAAATGATTTATTATATATTTATTTATTTAAATTATTATTTTTATCAAACAAATATTTTATCATGATCGAGCCAGAAATAATCAAAGGTACCAAAATAAATATATTAATTAAGTAGTCGGATTGATGGCTTTATTTATCCAATAACTAATTATGCATAGAGAGGTCAAAGTGCAACATTGACTTAGAGGTTATTTATTATTTAATTGGAGTTCAATTAATTTCTTTTAGTGGAGTAGAAATTAATTTATGAATTAATTGAATTGGTTCCATGGACCGGGCCAATTATTAATTCATTATAGCTAATAAAATAATAAGCCCAAAGGATTCTCACTCATAGCACAACTTGATATTGGAATCTTATTAGATTTGAGACATGTGAATTAGAGATTGAGAAGGAGTTACTGTTTCCTTTTCTTTTTCTTTATGTTGCCTATATATATACATGGTATATGTATATTTTAGGGGTGATTTTGGATGAGTAGGAAAAAGGAATATAGTTTATCTCTCTAGAAAATTAGGGTTAGTGTTCTCATCTAATAGAGGCTCCCACAAGCCTAGTTTTCCAATGTCATTCATGGAGGCTTATGAGTGATCCCTAAAGGCAAAACAATTACCAAAAAGATGGAGATCCAAGGAGAAGGTATCTTGCTCAGGGATCTACAATAAGTGAGAACATTCACTTTAGAGGAAAGATTTAAAGGTTTACTTAGACCTTTGATGTAAGTATTCAATCTGTTAATTGAATGATACATCATATTTTATCTTTGCATAAAACTTGTCTCTTTGTGATGAATCAAGATCTATGAATCAAAATCCCTCGAAAAGTTTTTAAAACTAGCATGTTTCCCAACAGTTACAGAGATCGTACATCTAATGCTCATGAAGACTAAAGAAGAGGAGTCAACAACTATGCCCAGAAAAATTCAGGTTCCAAAAGAATCAAGAAATGACATCAGAAAAAAGTGTCTCGTATCCTTGATTAGGATTGGAGTTGCATGCTCTATGGAAAATCCGCAAGCTCGAATGGATATAACCAATGTCCTTCACCAGCTAAATCCGATGAGGGACAATCTTGGAGGAAATTGAAACTTAAATGTCTTTTATCATTCTTGTTCCCCAAAAGTCTTTTTTTTTTTTTTTTTTTTTCTCAAATTTTTGTGTGTTAAATGCTTGTATATGGAACGTTGTTCCATCAATTAATGAGATCAAATTTGAAAGAATCACGAATCAATATTAATGCTTTTGCATGTAATATATATATATAGTAGACATGAATGATCACTCACTGTTTTCTTATGAAGATCTAACACCAACTCTTTTTAGATTGGAGAGTGTACAGGTATTAATAGACGCGAGAGCGAAATCAGATCATAACGGAAGAGATAGACAGATTGTTAGAGGCAGGTTTCATAAGAGAAGTGCAGTACCCCTCCTAGTTGTCCAATGTGGTGGTTGTCCAAAAGAAGAATGGAAAATAGAGAGTTTGCATTGACTTCACAAACTTAAACAAAGCTTATCCTAAAGACAGTTTTCCCATACCAAAAATTGACCAAATGGTAGACACAACCACTGGGTATGAGCGTTTAACATTCCTAGATGCATATTCAAGCTATAATCATATACCCATGCGTCCGGACAATGAAGAAAAGGCATCTTTCGTGATAGAGCGAGGGATCTATTGATACAAGGTGATGTCGTTCGGTCCAAAGAATATAGGTGCCATATATTAGAGGTTGGTCAGCAAAGTTTTCAAGGCCTAAATGGGCAAAATCGTGGAAGCATACATTTATGATTTGGTGGTAAAAAGTACGAAAAAGGAATACCACCTCCTACATTTATAAGAAGTGTTTGACGCATTGCACAAGCATGGCATGTGGTTGAACCCCTCTAAATGTTCTTTTAGAGTTGGCCCTGGACAGTTCTTGGGGCATATTGTCAATAACCGGGCGATTAAAGTGAGTCTTACCCAGGCAGAGCACTACAAGAAAAATGGGCTTTTACGATATAGTGTTTACGGGGCTTTTTTATTTTGCGTCGTGATTACCACAATTTACGGAGTTTTTAAAAGAATCCTCATAATAGGACATGTTTTCACGAGGATTTTATAGAATCGTCGTAGAAAAATATTTTTACGGTGTATTAAAGAGCCCGTGAATATTTAGATACATTTACGGTATATTTGTACACCTTTAACGGGATAAATGTTCCTCGTTGATAAAGCACACATCTACGACACCTTTTTTGCTCTGTAAATAAGCAATAAAAATTTTCACATCTAAGGCACCTTTTTTGCCCCGTAAATAAGATGAACTTACGGTGTATTAAATAGCTCGTGGATAAATTTCACATCTACGGCGCTTTTTTTGCTCCGTAAATAAGCAATTAAAGTTTTCACATCTAAGGCGCTTTTTTTGCTCCGTAAATAAGCAATTAAAGTTTTCACATCTAAGACGCCTTTTTTTCTCCGTAAATAAGTGGATAAATTTCACATCTACGGCGCCTTTTTTGCTCCGTAAATAAACAATAAAAGTTTTCACATCTAAGGCGCCTTTTTGGCCCCGTAAATAAGCTTTTACCAGCACTCCTTCCACTTTTTCCCTTCCCTCCATTTTTTTTCCCTTCCCTCCATTTTTTCCCTCTGTTGATTTGTAATATTTGGGCCCTAAACTACGTCATTTTTGGGGGCCAATTAACAATGTATTCCACTTTCCCATTTCATTTTGCAATAGCCCTAACTCCTTTAGCCGCTCTCTCTCCTTCCATCACAGGTCTCGCCCTTCTAGATTACAATCTATATACACACACAAACACACACATATATATATATATACACACACATGTAAGTATACTACAACTTTCATTTCCATTCTGCAATCACAAGGTCAAGTATTCAATTGCTCTGACTTCTTGTACAGACATAATGTTTTTGGTTTTGTGTCCATACCGTTAGTTTTTCTTTTTTCTGCTAATTTTAGCGGTTTCAGAATCGATTTTTGGGTTTTTTTTCTTGTTAATTTTCACTAATTAGATCTCACTCTTGCTGTTTAAGGTCGTATGGTTCAGTGTGATTGCTGTGTTTAGCTGATTGAAGAGCTTTACGTTTCATGAATTTGTGTTGATCTGTTTGGGCGAGAACTGTCTAAGAGTTTGTTGAGTTTGGTACATATATAGGTATATCTGGAACTCAATCTAGATTTGAGGGTTTTAGTCTTGCCCTTCTATCACCAGTGGTTTAGAGAGACAAAGTCATTGCTACTACGTCAAATGGGGTTTTTGGAAGGTTCTGCAGAGCTCTGATGGCTGCGGCCGCGGGCATTCCTAAGGACACTCGGGAAACCAGGGTCTTGAAGGTTGGACCCATCTCCCCGGAGCTGAAAAAATTTCTAGGAGTCCCTTCAACGTGTCGCACCGATGCCGTGAGAAAGGTGTGGGCACACATAGTGCAGCACAAGCTTCAGGTATGTTCATGTCTCTGTGATTCCATTTCATTATTGTTCGACCAAATTTTTTCCTTTTCTGTTTACAGATTTATATATATATATATATATATATATATATATATGTTTCCACTACACAATTTTCTCTGTGTGCTCTTTTATTTGTTCATGATTTTGAATTTTTTATTTTTTATTGGTAAGTTATATTCTGAATTTTTACTTATGCAAGTTCTTGTTATTTGAATCATTTTATGTGCTTGATTTTTCTCTAGAATTTTCCAATACCTTCTTGTATTTAGTTGGTTTCAATTCAATGCTGTATGTTGGTGACAAAGCACTTGTCATTGAGTTTATTAATCTTTGAGAGTCAGTGAATTCTGGGTTCTTTACTGTAAAAATCAGATAATTTTCTTGATAATTTTATTTTAAAGGTTGTGGTATGATATTCTTTAATTCCAGATGGGACTAGTTGGTTAGAACTGGAGGAAGCTGTTGAAGATGGTCCCGTATCAGGTTTTGGGAAAAAGCTAAGCTCAATCTTAGAAACCTATATTTCAGAGTAAGTTTTCAGTCCCTATTATATGAAATTAAATAAAAATCTTCCTAAACAAGGAAAGTTTTCATTGCTGACCTCTCTAATCTGAAGGCATTTTTAAAAATTGAAGAACTGTCAATAAAATGTACGAACCATTAATCTGTTATTGTATGACTGCATCATTCAAATAAGATGGATTATTCATTATTCAAAAGGCTTAGAATCTTTTTAGGGAAAGCAACTGGTGAACCTATTTTACCGTTTATAGAAATATGCCAATTATATTGTGACATCTTTCAGAAGTTAAAAGACCCTTCAAAATATACTACTGTAGAATTGGTTCCAAATTGATTGTTATCCTCTCCTTATATTTTTTTATTTTTATTTGTTTACATGTTATTTTTGTCTAGTTATTATTATTTTGTCACTTATTGTATTGTCTTAATAAATAGTCATCTCAGTTATGCTCCAAAACTTCATGCAACGCTTGTTTTGCAAATTGAATACTTGACATTATTCTAAATGTTAAGGGTGCTTAATCTGGTAACTTTGATGTCTTTAAGTCCCACTGAACTGGCATGTGTTATGGGAGGCATGACTTATAGTAAAAAAGAATGAAAGAAGATAATTTATGTGGCCAATCCCATTTGATTTGGACCAAGGCAAAATTGATGATCATTAATGGTTTTGTGCTTCTCAAGAACTCATTCTTGTATTGGTTCTGCTTTTTAGGGGTGGAAAGTTCAAGTGAAAGTAAAAATTAAGACCTGTTGTACTTGTTTCAGTTTTTGTCCTTTTGAACTTTCTAAAACTTTATAATACTTTTCTGAAATCAAAATTGGAAATGTTGATTTTTTTGCTCTAATCCTCTTGTTTATTTTTTGAGATAATGTTCCTTTACTAAATTGATTTGGATTACTCTACGTTTTTGTTTATATGCATATGAACTGGAGGCCATGTACTTTGATAAAGGCGTGAGAGATGCAAAACGACGAGAATTGGAGTCGAAAATGTTGCAGGTGACACATTTTTAATCATTTCCATCATATTTTTTTTTAGGTCATTAATAGATTCCTTATTAAGTTGTGGCAATGGAATGCTTTGTTGCTGGAACTGGTTTGGAGAAAATATATTAATGTATATATATTTTTTTATTTGTTGTGTTTGTTTCTCAAGTTGTCTAACCCCAGATTCCTTTATGTGTCTAGTACTTCTGAAATTAATTCTGTGATTTTTGGCCAAATTGGTATTTATATAAAAATCCAACAGTAGCTACTATTTGATTTTTTACACTAGTTGTAACTTGATTTTTGAACATTTTACTTGACTGACTTGTTGACCTCTGAAAATTCCAAGAACTTATAGATTTATAATATCTTAAGTCAAATTTCAAAATAAATTAAGTTTTCTCAATTTGGATATCAAACGAATGTTCTAAATATATTTGAAGTATCAGCTGCTCTGATTTTCTTCGAACTGGGGACTATGGTCCCAAGTTGCATTCTAACACCACTATGGTTATTTGGTCTCATTTTCAATGTCATGTATTTATTGTGATCCTGTGTCAGTAAGTTATCAGACCTTTTTGACTCTTTTAAATGGCGTAATGTGCTCTACTGGATCATTTATATGGATGATTTTTTATCACTTATTGTTGTAAGGCAAGCTTAGTAAGAATATATTTTTTGTAGTGGCCATGCTTGATATCTTTGTGAGTGAAAGAGATGTAGTGGCATTAGAAGGTTAAAAGTAAGGATATATTAGACATGAATTTTAATGTTGAAAATTTCTGGAAATTGAAAAGGACAATTTTCTGAACTATGTTTTATCACAGCCTATGGTTCTGGGTCTTTACAAAAACTACATAGAGTTAAAACCGTGTTAATTATATTATGTGGATATGAATAAAAATAAGTGCATTATTGGCAAGTGGATATGAATAAAAAGAACAGAATTATTAGCATTACTCTTTTCCCTTTCATGAAATGAAAGACTTCCAATACAAAATGCTTCAGCTATTGTTGCAATCATTTGTGTTCTGAACTAATATGTGTGTAATGTTTCATCCCTAGACTCAATTACTTTTAACATTCTTTACTACACTTGGATAATATGGTCTAAATATGATCATTCATACTTAATCTATGTTCCTAGTCTTACCCCTAATGTTTCTTACTTAATCTATGTATTTGGTGGCATTACATTTTTGAAATATTTTTTCCTGACAGGATTGATTATCACTAGTTCATTAGGAGCAAAAGAATCAGAATTTCTATGATTCCAGTCTACAACAAAGGTCAAATACTATGCTTCTTTTATGATTGCACAGTAATGCTTTTTTATACTCATACTTAGGGGGGTCACGTGCCTTCAAGTGACCAATTTTGCGGTGTATCTTGAACTTTATTACCTTATTGGTACATCGGCTTGTGTGGAGGCCATTTTTATTTCTTGTTTGAAAATGTTGAAAGCATGGGAGTATGGGATCATCGTATGTAGAGGTTTTGATTGATTGTTGTGGAGGAGAAATTGTTGATATGTTGTTTATACCTTTAAATAAATTCATAACATTTTATGTAATGACTAAATTTAAAAAAAATTCAATCCTAGGAAAACAATATTTGTAGGTAAATTGGAGAATGACTTCTCCATATTCTAATTATTTATGACCCTCTACTAATGAGCAGACATACCACATATCATCAGAGATAATGAGAACCAATCCTAGAATTATAATTTATTTCAATCAGGCTTTATCATGAAAAATCATTCCTGAGCACACTAGTATGTTGCATCCCACATCTAAAAGGATTTAGACTAAAAAAATATCATACTAAAACCTTTAAAATAACACTTCCCATGCCCTCTCTGGAGGGTAATTGCTTAGTTATATATGGCCAGTTCTATTGATCCATGGATAATTAACGTGTAAAAGACTTGTTAACATAGCGTAGATGTTGAAAAAATATTCAGGTTAATTGGACTTGGAAAACTTACTACCATAACTTAGGTTACTTTGCTTATGAAACATGTGAACATAATTACAGATTTTGTTCTCAAACAAAATTTCTACCTTCCAATGGACTGAAATTGTGGTATAAGATTCGCCATCATCGATCAAATGGAACCATATACAGATTTGTGAAGTACAGTTCGAATATTATAGATCTAAACAACAAAACAAAGAAAATCAGTTGTTAAGTAGTTGAAGTGTAAACCTAGAGAGAAAGAGGGAGGGAGGAAGAGAAAGCAGACCTTTGCCGATTGGAGTTCCGTCACCATGCAAATTGATTATGAATAATAGCTGAAACTTAGGTTTACACACAATAGGAAGATGAAAATGATTTAATTGGGTAGAAGATTTAGGTGCTAAGATCCCGTATTAGTGGGCATAACGCGGCAAATTTTATTTTTCAATAACTCATTGTGCGAGGGAAATAAAAATTTTGGCCCGATATACACGACTTAACAAACAAGTCATTAAAATAAATAATGCAAGTCATTAAAATAAATTTAAAATAAATTTGAATAGGCAAATAAGTGTAAACTATTTTTCCATGAGTCATTATGCGAGGAGTGATTATTATCATTTAAGAACCTTCAGATTTTGATAAGATGTCATCTGTTAGTTTTCACTTTTTAGACATTACTTTTAAATAGCATGAAAGAATTATCCACACTACAACTGATTTTATCAAACGAGGACAAAGTACAAGATGGAATCCACATTTGAAAATAATAAAAATTATGACTAATTGATAGTTTTCAAATGAAACAAGGATAAAGTACAAGATGGAATTCAGATTTTAAAAATAACAGAAACCTGTAAAAAGCTATATATGTAATTCACATTTTGAATGTGATAGAAAATTGTAAAAGGCTATATGTAATCGACATTCTGGATGTTGTATTTATGTGCTCTTTCTTAATGGATTATGTGGCAAAAGAGAGCTAAGTGGTTAGTTTTGCTTACAAAATGATAAGGCAATTTATAAGGAATTACATAGAAATTTAAAATATTCATATTTGTGCTTTGTGAATATAAGATAATTTACAGGTGTTCTAAAGCCTCAAAAGCTCTTCTGAAAAACTAATATATTTTGAAAGTTTATTGGGACAAGCTATCAAAAGAGAGATTATAAGGCCCCACTATTTCAAAGCAGATTAACCTGACTTCTTGCATGTCATTAAGGACCTGGATGGACTACACTCTCTATAAAATAGAAATTTTAGGGCTTCACCTCTCTGTTTCAAAGCAGTAAACTCCCTCCCTCCCACCTACTACACTCTTTGTAAAAGAGAAATTCCAGGGCTCCACCTTTCTGTTTAGAATTTAGATGGGACTGATTAGCTTATTTATTGCCATTTTGTTAAAAAGTGAGAAATCAAATTAACCACCTCATTCTATTTAATTATCTTTTGTACAAATGAATATACAAGATATGAGTATTTTCTAGGTTGTAGCAGAACTTTGAGGGAATTATTAGAAGACTATGATGAATTTTTTCAGATTTGCTCATAATCGTTGCATCAAAAACCTACAATGTTTCAGATTTGTTTCAGATTTGCTTATAATCGTGAGATAAAGAGACTACATATTATGATATTGTAGTATTCATGAATATAAAGATATTATGATATTATCTGTTCTCATACATCCTTGCAAAAATCTAGTATTCAATTAAGGAAAATTATCTGCTTGAAATTTTTTTGGTAGATCTAAGGAAGAAATTCTTAGCAAAATGTCTGTATTTGATTTATAAATGATAATCTTGTTATTTCTCTTTTTTATTAGCATTCTGAATTTGAGACTTGTGTGATGCAGCTACTTCCTTGGATTTTGTACCGTGGATTTTGCAGCTACTTCCTTGGATTTTGTATAGTGAGGTGGTTTTCTGACAAGTGCAGACTGAAACTCAAGTGCTAGAAGGTTTATCAATTTTTTAACGTAAGTGTTAAGAAATTAATGATTTCTTGACAAATGGATTTATTTCCTGTTTTGGAACATTGTAAATGTTGAATTGTTTTGGCACATTAATAAATGATGAATTGTAAAAATGTTTTAACTCTTTTGATATATTTAATGGAATATGTATATTTTTTGAATTGAATTATAGCTGAAAGTGATGTGAATTATAGGTAGTGGATGATTAACTGGCATTAATTAAAGGTGTTTTATTTATAAAAAAATATATATATTATTTACGGGGAGCTTGAAATCCCGTAAATAAGTGAAAATCCTCCTAAATAACTTTTTACAGCATACATGGCAAGTCGTGAGAATGGTTTATATTATTTATGGGTACCTAAAATTCGCCGTAGAAAAGTTTTCTACGGCATATTTCAACGCCTCGTGAGATTATTTACGGGTAGTTAAAATTTGCCTTAGAAAACTTTTCTACGGCATGCTTTTATACCTCGTGAGATTATTTACGGGTAGTTACAACTCGTCGTAGAAAAGTTTTCTATCGCATGTGACGGTACCTCGTGAGATTATTTACGGGTACTTACAATTTGCCGTAGAAAACTTTTGTAGCGACCCGAGTTATTTAACCTGATGCGTCAGTGATAAACCGAAAGTTGACCCGGTAACGGATCCGAAATACGAAAGTAAAAGATGAAACCAAAGTCTTTAGAGATATAAACCATCTCTAAGACATCAATGTGACCTTCCATGAAGCTACGAAGCTCAAAGAGGACGAAATCAGAAACAAAGGTCAAAACGGCCAAAAACCGTGAACCAAGGGGCGAAATGGTCAACTCACCATTAAAAGGAGAGACTTGACTCTAAACAAGTCAAATAAGGTGAAAAAAAAAACCTAATCTAATCATTTCACAACATTCCAAGAGGTTCTAAGAACATTGGACATGAATCCCTCAAAATGCCCTATCCCGGTTGAAGTGAAAACTGACACCCTCTTACTAAAACTTGAATAACTCCCACTATGATTGAAATCTGAGAATAATATTGGTACCATTGGAAAGCTGATTCAAAATTCATGAATTTAGGCTCAAGAATCACCCCATTTGGATTTAAAACGAAGGAGTTATGGTCATTTGAAGTCGGAAGAATTGTGCTAAAACTGGACTGAAGCTACTCTCGGGATCTACCTATTTCGGTCGACCGAAATGGACAAAATTTTAGATGAAAACAAGTCTTTAAGGCTTGGTTGGTTTGATACACCAAAAGGAACCATCGGTCGACCGAAATGAGCCATCGGTCGACTGAAATGACCCTAAATGCTGACTTTGGCTACTAGAAAGTGAAGTTTCAAGGTTCAAACAAAACTCAAAAGGCTTCGGTTGACCAAAATGACTCGAGAAAGTGCACTAACCTCCTGTTATGCATTCATGGCTGAAAGTCCACTTGGAATCCCCCATAGCATGTTCAATTTGCATTATATGCAAGTATGTGATGATGTGAGCATGCACGCAAGTGTAATATAGTAATTTAAACATGTTACGATGGCCCATGCCCTTATTACAACTCATTTACAAAAATTGACATGCCAAACCTCTAAGTTGGAAAATAATGCATTTCAAAGGCAAAATTTGAAGTTTACATACATAAACTTGAATTTTAAGGTTCGTGGCCCTTGGCCTCATGTCGTACACATCAAATAAATTCCAAATAGTGTATCTAAGTATACTTTACATATATTAAAGCAAAAGAGCATGTTGAACCTAACTAAGTATTACAACACCAAAAGTAAAACTTAAACATGCTAACACTTGCATGTGAACAAGAATGCATTAAAAGAAACTTCAAATCTCCAAATCATCCAAGGCAAATGCAGATCTTTGAATTTCGAATCCTGTACCTGAAAAATGTCCCCACTACGTGGGTGAGTAACATAAAGCTACTCGAAGGAGATAGGCATGCATCGACCTGGCATTTTACAATTATATCACCTTAAGGTGAAACATGTCAAAATGGCTCATACCACCTAAGGTCTATATCACAATGAGACTCAAAGAGCATCCTAAGCTACTCATGCTATTTAAGTGAACAACGACATACAAGTATACATGCTCAAGTACACTAAACAATGTTAAAGCATGTTATATGACATACAAGCATACATTTCCATGTTTACTAAACCATATTGAGATAAGTCATGCAATGTCTAAGCATTTCTATACAAGTATGCATTCGATATGGAAAACTCATAAATCAAATACACCACACAAGTATACATATTCAAGTACCCTAAATCATATTAAACAAGATAAGAAATATCTAGCATACATACGCAAGTATCCGATGCTATATATATATAGAGTACTCATAAATCAAGTATACAATCACAAGTATACTAAGCTAGATGAAATACACACAATACAAGTATACACGGCACAAGTATACTAAATGAAATTTAAACTCATAGAGCAAGTATACAAGTCCAAGTATACTAAATAGGATCCAAATACCCAAGGCATGCATTAATTCTCAAGCTACAAATAATCCATGATTAACAACTTGAAATTAAATGCAATAACAAATAGTGGAAAGACTAGGATATGTGGTCGCTAGACCAAGCAAGTATTTTCGGGTAATTACAACCCACAAGGTACCACATAGTGCGTACTTATGACTTAGAAGACTCTTGTCTCCGTACTAGAGCCAAACCCTAGCCATCACATAAAGTATGTCCTCACAAGCTTTCCAAAACCAATAAGTTCAAAACTTATACAAAATCAAATGCAAGTTTCCACCTTTCATGCACAAGTAAGGTTGAATTCATACAATTCATGTCCTAGAATTCAAGTCTAAATAGTATATGACATGTCAAGTCTCCAATATGCAATTCATATACAAACAAGAATATTTAACAACAATTGAGCCACAACACCATCCTAAGCCACAAGTACTAAATAAGCTTCAATTTAGTTACTGACTTCCAAGGTAAACAATTGTAATATTCTAACAAGCTATATTCTTACACAAGATATGTTTAAACAAGCTATTCAAGAAAATGATATCACATATCATGTTAAGTCAAATTACCATCTTTAGAGACCATAAGTACTAATTCTACAACAAGTTAGTCGCATGCGCACAAGGTAATTAATTGAACTACGATTCATGAAATTATCACCTTAAGTGACTACAACACTTAAAATAAAATTAATTAAGCTAATTAATTAATTTTCCTCTAGATTTCCAAACATATCCAAATGTCCTCAATTTAATATATGTTAAATAACTCATTAATGCCTACTTTAATATTACATTACAAGTTGATTTCATACTTGATACAACTATATGAATTAATCTTCACAAAAATAATTATTAAATAAGTTTTGTAAATCTTATTCAAATGCTCCAAATCTAATATATGTTACTCAACATACCAAGGCCTAATTTACTAGTATGCCACAATTTAATTTCAAGTTACACACAACCATATGAATTAAATCTCAAATATAGAAATTAATTAATTAAATTTTAAATCTCAAACAAAAGCATGCTCACAAGTTGTATATGCTTATATAGCAATCAATAAAACATTAATATAAATCTAAGACATTCCCTACCTTAATTTGAGATGAAAACTCAAATCCCCACCAAAAGAAAAGTGCTCCGAATCCGACGATACTCCTAGGTTTTGTCGGGGACAACCCTGTGGACAAGAATCCCTAAAAAGCCCCATGAAAATCACAACTTGACCTTAAAACCAAACTCAAAATTTGGCCAAAAAGGGGTTCTAATAAGGTCAAAAGATGCGCGTCGTCAAGACGAACAACAAATACTAAGGCACGACTATATTTTGACAAAGAAATGAAGTTCAAATGAGGAGAGAGAAGATGTCAGCCTCCCTTGGGCTGCCATGGAAGCTTCAGGTCGTGCATAGGGAGTGGGGAAGATGAAAATCAAAATATCTCATCCTCCTTTTATAGAAAATCTTAAAAAGTGCCCCAAACGGGCCCCGCCGGGTCTGAAAAAGTGAAATTTAAGCAAACGCACTCAAATCGAAAAACTCTGTGAACAAAAAAGGTTCAAAATGAGAAAATATGAATAACGGAAGAAATGGCGTCAAAAACTGAGTCCCGAGCAGAGAGATATGCCTAAAACAAGTTTGGGGCAAATAGGGGTCAGAAACCCTGAAACTGGAAAATAACGACCAGAAGGAAATTCTAAGAGTACATGACTCGACGAAATGTGAAAATGAATCCCGTTCTAGGATCCACGCTCCAGATGAGATATTTTGCAATAACTTTCGTTAATTGCACAATGGCCCCTACAAAAGGGGTTAACTGCAAAATTGCCCCTGAAAGAAAATATCTATCAAAAGATGTTTTCTTAGATACCCCTGAAATAAAATATCTTCAAAAGATATTTATGAAAAACATCCCAAGAAAAGAAAATAATTCCAAAGAACTATGCATCCATGCCCCTATGGACATCGGGAGCAACCATAGTACTTTTCTGCAAAAAAGTAAAGATACGTATTTTGTGGAAACCACTGAAGATGAAGACACGTGAAGTCAAAAACTAACTCCGAACACAAGAAGTGAGGTTTTGCCAACAAAGTGACAAACGGGGAAAAGACAAAACAGGGAAAAGGACAACAGTGAATAGTGTCCGAAAAGTGAAAATGCGGAAATAACTCGGTCCTCAAAGGAAGTTGTCAATCCACACGAAAGAGTCTCAGTAGTCATTTCTAAGCACTCAAAACAACACTAAGCGACGAGAAACTGAACTCAAACAAGAAATTTCAACGAAAAAAAATTCATCCGTGAAATTTTAAGGAAAAAGAAAAGAAAGGAAATGACCGGGTCATTACAAATTTTCTATGAGATAGATTTTTTCCCGTAAAAAAAATTGAGTATTTACGGAACCCTCATACACGAGGGCCTAGAATGCGCCGTGAATGAGTTGCCACAGCGTTTTTGGCCCCTCGTAGAAGCCTTTTTTTTCTTGTAGTGGAGTCACTAGTGCGAAGCGAGGAACCGAAGACCCTTAAGGAATTCTAGACCCTCACATGAATAATAGTGTCGCTCAGTAGATTTATCTTGAGGCTATCAGATTGATACAGGTTATTCTTCGATACGATTAGAAGCTTAACTGAAGGCGGATATAAGGGAGCAAATAACAACGAGCATTATC